AAGCCAAGGATTTGACAGAGCTAGCAGCACAGAGACTCAAGCCCTTGGTAGGAAGTCAGCAAAGGTTTCAATGCCAAGATGACCAGAGGCTAAATAACATGTTAAAGACCATAATGTATATGTGTATCGCGGTTGGGAATGAACAAAGCTCACCAGTCTCAACTGGATTTAGGGTGAGAGCAGCTGTAATAACTGTAAGGGTTAAAACATTCAACCTGGTCTGAACAGCATGGCTTTCCCCTAAAATGCTCATTCCTTATTTTGCCAAACAAGCACAACCACTGAGGTGGTGTCAGAGATTCATTACAAAGTAGTCTCAAGTATGCAAAGAGCAACCTAACTCTATCCAAGTCGGCATTTGGCATTCCCCTGAGGATAATTTCACACTATTCGAGCACAGCGAAAGGATCGGGTGTCATAATTTGGAAGGGAGAGCAGAGCATTTCAGCCCCAGTGCCCCCATTCCCAGCCCTGCTTTCTGGACCAGCTTTGTCTTCACAGCTGAACCAAGTCCTTTCGCTGCCCAATCCAATGATCCCTGATGCAATCCTGGTGGAAAACTCCATGACACCACAGGCAATAAAAAGCTTAAAAGAAGAGCTGTGAGGGTAAGAAGGTGGCTGGAGAGAATCCTTCAGCGATGCCTCGGCAGTCTGGATCCGGAGGTCACAGCAGAAGCAGGCGCTTGAAGCCCAGCAACCGGGGCCAGCGAGTCAGCTCTCAGGAGCTGCGCCGCATTCCCCAGCCTTCCCTTCCCGAACAAACAGTGCAGAACAGGGCAAAGGTCCAGCACAAAGCTGAAGGGCAAAGGTATGCGGGGGAGGGAAAAGACTAAGCTTCACGTTTTTTTGGAGAAACAAGTTCCAGTTACCCTCATCATCCCCAACGAGGCGGGAAGAGTTACTCAAACGTGAGCTGTGGGTTCGGAACAAAACAGTATTTTGGAGAGGAAACTTGGGGCAATGGGGGGGAGGCCTCCTGCTGCGATAGCAGCTCTGTTGCAACAAAGCTGCCAGGAGAGCTCCACAATTACGTGCCACGACAGAGCAAGAATTGCCCAACACTTGGAAATAGGTGTGTGTAGCACTACTGAGCTGGATGCCCGAGCAAGCAGATGTGCGCGTCTACTCTGAACGCAAAGACACGCCAAAGGTAAAACAAGCTTCCCATACATCTTATCTCCAGCACTGGAGGCTGGTTTCAAGGAAAGCCCTATGGGGAGTTAGTCAGCAAGGGGTGAGAAGCTAATGAATCTTCCCCTGCCTTCTCCTCAGGACCGGTAGCCAACCCAACCTCTGCTCTGGCATAAAGCAACACGCGCTCTCTCTGAACAATAGTCAGACAACCTCTGGTGCTTGCTGGTAGCAACCATGGTGTGCCTTCTGGAAAGTACTGCTTATCCGCCCAGTGCCTCTGCCAAACAGAAAGCAAGAAACTCTACTCAAGAAAGCAAAGCACCTCCTGCATCTCCATTAGGAAATACACTGGCCGAGCGCTTCCAAGGAGAATGAAAAACGGCATAAAACTTAGTGCAGCCAAAGCTCAGGGATTGCAGTGCTGGTCATTAAAACCTGAGTGTTCTTACTTCCAAGATGTAAATGGCTTTAAAAATAAAGAAGTGCCAAGTGCCTTGATGCAACATTTCTTGAAATAAATCCAGCAGGTTTTCAAAACGGGGTGCTGTTAACACCTGTCCGTACCAGTGCTTGCATCAGCACCAGCCCTGGTGCAGGGCACAGCGGAGGAGTACAACATGTTCCAGAAGGTCGAGCTGTCTTAACTGCAAGCAAAACTTCTCCTCTACAGAAGAACTGGAGAAAATACTTTGAATTTGGTTTATAGCCAGTAGTGCAAAGCTGGTTTTGCCAGAAAATGTTTCCTATGCTACTGCAGACACACACACTACCATCATGCCTTCGCCAGCCAGGCTGCTGGCTGCATTTATTTACATGATAAGAAGAGAATGTGTAACAACGAGGGGACAGTCACACAGACCTTGTTACTGGATCATTAGAGACTAAAAATGAGGTATCATTACAGCTCTGCAGCGTCCCTCACAAGCAGTCAGCAGTGTCAAGCCCTGTCACACAGGACAGGACTGTGTGTATCTCAGGGATCAAAGGCTCCTCGCTCTGATCTTTGCACCCCCAATCCGAAACACACACAAACAAATGTAACGCACATCTTGTCGGGACACCGGGAAAATTTTCTGGTGTGCCGCTCCAGCTGAGCCTCAGCCTCCACTTACAGCATCAGCAGTATCACTGCTGTCTAACTCGACCTAATGGTTGCTCCACTTACTGCTACACCGTCGTGCTTCTGGGAGGTTAAGAAGCAAGGAGAGGCCTTGCTTCAAGAGTCCTCCTTCCTGACAAAGCAGAAACATTCACTCAAACACCCTATTATATTACTGACTTCACTGCCAACCTCGAGCTCAAAAAACGCTGCAGCAGGTAGGCAAGACATGAGCTTCTGAAGGTAAATCCTGATCTGCCAAAAAGGACCCTGCTCCCCAGTCCCTGAATAAACTCCTCAATGCCCTGGACTTGCACAGCTGTCGCAAGTCAAACAGTTCAAAACAACAGGAGGTGGATCTGTTAAGCTCTTCCTTAACCATATTCTAAGAGAGACAGCAGAAATTCACCAAGATCTTTGAAGTGGTTCTGTTTCCCCTGGGCCAGAGCTCAATGCCTTTACTTTTATAAACACCAATTCCAACATGGACCATTACAGAATGGGTGAACACCTAAGGAATGAGTAGGTCTTGTCTATTAAATCTGCTCTACGGGTCTATAATTAATACAATGATTATAAAAAAAAATTAGGGCTTTCAAAGCCTGTAAAACAAGTCATAGATGGATCCCTTTATCATTACAGAGCAGTCATCAGCTCTACACTTCTTGGTCTCCTCATTACCTCTAGCATGATCAGGGCTAAAAACATTTAATATCTCCAGCACAGAAGCATTGGTCTGGGAACACTGCTGGATTATGAGCCAAGGCTTCCTAAACTCTGCCGAGAAACCAAAGACATCCAGCAGTGCCTTCCCAGAGTTCAGCAGCTCTCAATCCACCATAAGGGTAAAAAAAGAGTCGTTTTCCTTGGGTGATTCTCCTGGAGGTCACCACAACACAGCTCACCTCACCATCAGGTTCTTTCACACAAATTTACCATATCTTTTTTGGTAAGTATTTGCGCAAAGCAGTGAAGACACGACGGGAGTTGGCAAACTCTGCGAGAAGGTACTTGGGCACAGGGCTGCCAGGCAAGGTCAGCTGCCAGCCTGCCTCTCGTGGGAGCTCACCAGCCGTGTTTATTTTACACGTTTTCTCTTCTGCTAACGAACAGGCAGCAAAAGAAACAATGCCCCAAGAGAAGAGAGCCAGGCAGCAGCACTGGGGGCACTGCTGGAATCAGCTGCTGCTGCCAAGTGTCCCAGAACACACCACCAACCAGTTCCATTATTTAAACACCTTCAGGAATACAGGGGCAGCTGTACTGGGCACAAGGATAATTCTGATGTTGCAGCATTACTCCCTTACCCTACAATTGGGTGGACACGCTACAGACACACTCTCACTCTCTCCCTCCAAAAAAATCATCTCAGAACTTGTAAGGACCCCCTGCTTTGGGGGCAGCTGTCTCATCTCTCACACACCTTTGTGAGTGATGGGCCTGGTAATGAATCTGGACACCCCCTAGACCAGAGCCTCAAGTAGGAACCTTCAATCTTGCAATGCTGCATTTTTTGGTTTATTTCTACGAATTGTTACCCTCAGAAGGCATAACAATGGAGCACAACCTTCACACAAAGGAGCGATGTGACCAGGTTTGTGCCATAACGCACAAGGCAAATGCAGACAGCGACGCTGTCCTGGATTTTCTTAAGCTTTGCTTATGTCAGTGAGTACAATGACAAACCACCAAACAATCCGAACACAGACTTCTACCTAACACGATTAACTTGTCCTCTACACTTCCCCTTCAGATGACAGCTTTCCAGGTGGAAATCGCAGAGCTGTCCATCTCCCAAAGATCAATAACTCTTGATGAATCATCATCCTAGGCGCTAACAGTTCTTACAAAACACTGGCACGTACAGTAGTTCGGAATCCGATGTCACATCTGGCAGCGTGTTTTAGAGTTAATAGAAAAAGAAATATTTCACAAACAAGACGCTTAGTGAAAACTTCTGTTCTCCTCCTAGTCGCGATTCACTGGAAGTAGGTAATGGGGGAGGGAGGGGGGGGGGAGGGCAGCACCCATCCCGACACGCGGGGAAATGGTGCTCCTCAGCTTCACCCTTTTGCTGACGACAGGAGCGGGCTCCAAACGCGCTTTGGGCAGCGCAGCCTTTCTGGGGACACCCCCGTTCCCCAGCCGTGCCCCCAGCGGGGGCAGAGCCGCGCTGGGCGCCGCCGCCGCCATGAGTCGGCAGAGAAAGGCGGCGCGGCCTGCGCGGGGGAGCCGCGGCCGCGCACACGTGGGCAGCGCAGGCCGCGGCCCGGGCACGGGGCCCCGCGGGGGCGGTGGGGCTGCGCTCCCGGGGGACCCGCACACGCCGGGGAACCCACCACGTTGCCGGCGCAGCTGCGGCGGAATGCCGGGAGCGGGGAGGAGGAGGAGGAGGAAGAGGGGGGGGGGGCCGCGTGTCCGCCGCCGGGCCCGCCCGCCTCCACCGGGCCCGCGGCACCCCCCGCTCGCCGCATGGCCGGGCCGCACTGCCCTCCCCGCCTCGTGGCCGCCGCCGCTCCACCCGCCCGGGCCTGGCCCGGCGCGGCCCCCGGCCCGGCGCGGCCCCGCAGGCCGCGGGCGCGGCCCCACGCCGCGTGTGCCGCATGGCGCGGCCGCCCGGGGCGCGGTCGGCGGCGCTGCCGGCCCACCCCCCCCACCACACACACATACACACACACACACACACACACATATACACACCCACCCCCCCCCCCCCCCCCCCCCCCCCCCCCCCCCCCCCCCCCCCCCCCCCCCGCGGCACCCACCGGGAGGCGACTGCCCGTTCACGGCCGGCGCGTTCTTCGTCCAGGGGTTCACCTTGGGCGGCGGGGCCTCGATGAACTCCCGGCGCCCCGCGCCGCCCGCCTCGCCGCCGCCGTCCTCCGCCTCGCCGGCCCTCAGCAGGCTCTCCTTCTCCTGGTTGTTGCTCTCCTCCTTCTGCTGCTTGGCGCTGGGCGGCCGCGGCGCCGCCGGCCCGCCGTCGGGGCCCATGGGCGGCTCGCCCTTCTCCCGGCCGCCACCGTCCTGCGGCGGCTTCAGCACCAGGGCGCGCTCCTCGGCGGGCAGCAGCGGGGCCGTGCCGGGCAGCAGCGCCTCCACCTGCGTCGCCATCTGCGCGCCCCGCCGGCAAAACCCCCCCCACCCCCCCCTTCTTCTTCTTCTTTTCCTCCTCCTCTCCCCGAGCCCCGGTGCCGCCGCAATATGGAGCCGCGCGGGGACCACGCGACTGCCGCGGGGGCGCGCACCGCCCGCCCTCCCGCCCGTGCGCGCCGCCGGCGAGGGGAGGGGCGGTGCGGAGCGGGGCGCGCCCCCGCGGGGCGGCCGGCGGCGCGCACGGGCCTGATGCAACGCCCCGGCCGAGCTGCGGGAGAAGGGGCGGAGTGTGTGGGGGGGATGTTTGAAGAGCGCTGGACCTTTCCCTGATATCCCGGCCCCGCCGCACGGTTGGGAGAGGAGGAGCTGCTCGGGCCACGGTGGGGGCAGCTGCCGGCTCGGGGACTCCGGGGCTCCCCCGGTGCGTTCGCACCGGGGGAGCCCCGGAGTCGCCGAGCCGGCTTCGACAGCGTCCCCGGTCACTGCACGGTAAAGAAGTTCTTCCTCGTGTTCATGTGGAGCTTGCGCTCCCCCCCCTTTAGATATTTATACACATTGATGAGGTAGAAACCACCTCCCCATGTCCCCGAGCCCGGCAAAAACCTTCCTTTGAGGAGGTTAAAATATTGGCTTGATTTCTCGCTGGTGGCATAGGTCTCGCTCATCATCATCACCAATGTCCCTGGTGTTTGTCCCCCAATTCTTGTGGCTGGCAAGACAGCGAGTGCAGACCCTGTGTGCAAGTGCCCACGAGTGATACACATTAAAAAGGCAGCTTGGACTGCTGATACCATTTAGCACAACCTGTCTAATTCACAGTGGCCCTTACTCAGTAAGTAAGCGTGCCTTTTTTATCCAATACAAGTCTCTCCCAGCCTCCTCCCCGTCACAGCAACCACGCCAATCCACTTCTGCCCAGAAAGGTTTATCTGGAAATCTTGGCATGTCCTGCAGCCCCAGGGACACATCTGTGCAATCCCTGCAGGAGACCCGTCAGCATGACAAGGCACTGAAGTGTGTAGCTGCCGGTGTTTGGAGCAGGATTAAAAGCTGACTTCACTGTTGGAAGGAAAGAAGAAAGTGAGAAACAAATGGGAGCTTAATACAACATTTGGAAGGGCAACACCATCAGGGGTCTGGCAGATCCATAGAAGGGATCCCAGGCTGTCGGAGATGCTCCGCTGGGACCATCTTGGTTCTCTGCATCCTTCGGTACCCAAGCCCTTGGCTCAGAGAACACCCTCATGTGCTGCAGCCTCAAGGATTGCCAGTGTGTGTCACATCCCAAAATCATTCAAGAATTTGGCCAGTAAAATTCCAAAAGGAAATCTAAATATAATTCCAGTAGAGCCATATGCTGGCCTGTCTGCCTGGCTGGATACCCAGTGGGGATGCTCCAATACCTGAGTTGCAATAGCACAAGCCATGCCCTATGCTCTGTATGGCCCAGTTCCTGATGTGCCAGCGGTCCCTGTTCTCCTCATGAGCATGACTTGGGAGCTGCACAACTTCCAGCCAGGCTTCCACCTTCACCCTCTCTAGGAGTGGGTCCTTGTGGTTGCAGCCAGGGGACCTTCAGCCCCGTGGTGTTCCTGTCCTGTCCCCCATCCAGGGCACAGCATTCCTGCCACTTGGTCCTTCTGGGACGCTGCTCCGCCTGCCACGTGAGCAGTGGCTGAAAGCCAAGCTGGCTCCAGAGCTGCCAGGCAGGATGGAGCTGGGTGAGTCTCACCCTCAGTGTCCTCACAGTGCCCAGCCAGCCCAAACCCCAGCATGGTTTTCCAAGTCTGAAAATAAATACGAGGGCGAGGGGGGAGAGAGGGAAGTATCTGTGCAACCTTCCTGCATCAGCTGTAGGGAACATCACCTTGGCAGGTCAGCTCTCAGACACCCATCCTGCACCTGAAGGGAAGCTGTGTGCATCACCTCCAGCTGGGTGGGGTAAACACACCGGCCACATCTAGCAAGCTCTGTGTGCCCCACTCCTCCCTCAGTGTCCTCACCTCTGCTGGACCCATCTCCCCCTGCTCTGCCCAGTATCCATGGCACTTGAATATTCTACTCCTTGGCTCCAGGGACTTGCTGAGAAGCAGCCCAGGAGTCTCTGCACTTCTGCAGCCCAATTCACGGGGAATTAATCCATCTCTGCTTTTCCAAAATCCAAGGAAAACACCTGACTGTGATCCCCAAGCCTGCTTCTCTGCCTCATCCTCCAACCCACATGTGTCCCTCTGCCTGCCCAGACCACATCAAGCAGCTCTGAGTGCTGCCTCCCAGCCCTGTGCTGGTCCTGCGCAGGCTCCAAGGAAGCAGTCTCCAGGGAAACTCCTCTGCTGAGTAGTGATTTGGGCAGGAGCTCCCCACCTCCCTTGCTCTGTGTACAACAGCTTATTTATTTCTCCTTGACTGAAGCGTGGCTTGCATATTTAACACAGATGCCTGGCTGCTTTGGTGCTGGCCTGGAGGTTTAAAGATGCTTTGGTGGTGGCCGTAAATGTCTTTGAGCATCTCTGGGTCTTGCTTGGCTGGAGTATCCCCAATTTAATTTCTACTGGCCTGGCTACCTCAGGTCCTGACCTTCCCTTTGGGAACAGCTTTAATTCAGCCTGGAGTGAGGGGTGTGTGTGGTGGTGGGGAGCACAAAGCAGCTGACGTGACTGATACACCCCTTAGCTTCCCCAACCTGTTTGGGTGGTAACTCAGCCCCTTCCTCAGGTTCCACTTGCCTAATTTTGTCTGCTGCCGGGAACAGGAGGTCACCATTGTACGTGTTTCCTACAGTTTTACTTTTCTCTGGTCTGGTCCCCAACGCAAATCAGCAGCTCCAGCACACTCTTGATCACATCTCTTTTCCCTGCATCCGGGGGCTGCACTGACCTCAACAGCCAGCTCTGAGTAGAAGTGTGCTTCCCAAAGGAATCTTCTCTCCCCAGCACTTCCAGACCAGCTTGTTTGCTGCCAGCCAGTGCCGGTCACGCTGTTCCCTGGTGAGATGCCCAAGCTTTACACATGGATGGCAGAACATTAAGGCTCAGGCACCTTGAACGCTTTGCAAAAGAGAAAGAGGATTTTGCCAGGGAAAGTCCAAGCTTCCTATCCTGAGTCATATGCTTTGACTTATTTCTGCAGTTGTTACTGCTCTGTGAACCCTACCAGGCAGAAACATTGTCAGGGACAGGAATGCATGCAAGATTGGGCCGATTTTCCTGCAGCAGCTCTGCAGTGTCACCCTCGAGCAAACCTGGCTGCCCTCAGGGGGTGTCATAGTCCTGCTCCCAAAGCATCTGCAGATGCAGCGTGACCATCAAACTGTAGGAAACTGCTTCAAACTGCATCAAACTGCCTCTGGCACCCAGAGGGAAAAAGCTTCTCAAGGGACACCCAGAGCTCATTGCAAGAAGAGAAACATCTCTTTGAGAATGTTGGAGGTTCTGCACATGCAGGTGCAGAACCATTCCCAGGACTTTGGGCCACTAGTTACAGCCCTAAGATTGAAAAGGGAATTTTCTATTTCAGAAAACCTGACAGTTTCCCGCTGAAAAATATTCAGATTGCCCTAAAGTTCCTCATCAGGAAAATCTGACTCAACATTTTCAGTGTGGATCAGATTCTCTCCCACAAAGCAGTGGAAGCCCAAATACCAGTCCCAGTTTGCAGCCCCAGCAGTGAGCAGGTCCAAGGGCAGGCTGTCAGCAAGTCCCTGTAACCCTGCCACGGCAGGTGCCTCCCAGCCCCAGCAGACACCTATTAGTGGCACATTGTAGCCATCACAAAAGACTTGAGTACTTTTAAAATAAAACACCCAACCCTTTTATTCCACTACCCTGAATACTGTCATTTCAACCCACTTTAGCTCAGAACCAGAAGAGAGTGCCCATTCCTACAGGTTTCTGCTGGAGAGACCTCTAACAACCCTTTCTTTAACCCAGATTTTAACCTCTCCTTGCTCTGTGTTTTCAATCCCAGAGCTCCCACCCGTGCTCTGGACGGAGGGGCCATGCACTAAAGCACAACAGGCAGCCAGAGCAGCCAACTCTGCTCCTGCAAGGGATGGGCAAAGGGATGAGAACACTCCAAGTGCTCACGGGCAGTTCCATAGGCTTGTCCTATCTGCAGCCCTGTGATCCAAAGAGATGGAAGATAAATTCACTCGGACCCTCCTAGCACAGTGCATGAGTGATCCGCGTGAGGAGTGAATGCGTTCACGCTAATAAGTAACGTTCAACCTGCGCAATAAACCAGCGGACACTAACGAGTTCCATTTCATCGCCATTAAAAAGCGCTTTCCCTTAGCAGGACGCCACGACCCAGGCGGGCTCAGGCTCAGTGGTTTGATGCTGCAGCCCAGCCAAAGGCACTGTGCTGCTCGTGGCATTTGTAGGTTGGCGATCAGCTCCCAGCAGCTCTGCAGAGCCACCAGCCCCTCGCTGCTTCCACCCATCTTCTGCACACTGGGAAGTGATGCTGCAGGTGTGTTTGTATGTCAAGACTTCACCACATGGATTTTCCTGGTGTTAGGAAGTTGGATTTAAATGAGAGCGAATAACCTGTAATTAAAGTTCTGAAGTCTGCAATGCAGTTTTTGTTGGGTTTTAATAAATGGATTGGAAGGAGGGTTGCCTAATGATAGATAACTGCTTTTATAACTGCAACTTTTCCCTCAAAAAGCCACAGTTCTTTTAGGACTCCCACAAAGCCAACAAATAATCTTGACTGCTTGAGAAAAATTCTAAAAACACCCCCATTTCCTAGTTATTGATGGCATTGGCTTTAGAAACCAATACTTTCTCTAGATCACAGTTTCTCACCTTGTATATTTTTCTGGAGATATATTAGCCCAAGGTTTCATATATCCCCTAAACCATTTCAAGAGCTCACGAAAACATAAGTTGACTACTGACCCTGATATTTTCTCTAACAGATATTTACCCTCCAGGCCACCCCTCCACCATCAGGAATTTCAGCAAAAATATTTCAGACACTTGTACAAAGACAAATGAGGCGTAAGAATTCTAGAA